TTTTTATTTATTTATTTTATTTTTCTTGTTGTTGCGAAAACGTGGGGTTCCTGGAAATAAATTCACGAATGAATTTCTGGATCTTATCTTTTTTCTCGTGACTTTCTCGGAAACTGTGAGTCACGAAGCCTTAAAAATTTGAATTGACCAAGAAAAACACCCGATTTTTTCAATTTTTACCTAATGACGTTCAAAATGACGTTTTCTCAGGGAGGAAGATGTTTATTTTTTGCCATAAGTGCTCATATTTAAAATGTGATCGCTTTGAATGCGTTCCACAGGAAAGTATCGAGGCGACAAAGCAATGTCAAGGGCTATCAGCGTTTAACTGAATGCGAATTGTTTGTCTATTTTAAAAAAAATGTTCTACGTGGGTTGAAATTAATGGTTCCTGAAATAATTAAAGATCCTATCTTAACTTTATTAAATTGCCATGTGAAGGAATTTCACGTGTCAGTGAAGAAACGGGTCAAAATTGACCACCGGGTTTCACACACGCGTTTATTGTAGTAGAAATTGGTTGATGACTTGCAGGATTTTTAAGAAAAGACTCATCACGGTACTGTATAGTGAAATGTTATTTTCGAGCAACAACCATTCTTTTAAATTTTATGCAGAAAAAAGCCTGCTGCTGCGCCTAAAAGACCTGCGAAACCGGCAAAACCGCAAGCCAAGAAAAGACGAACAATGAGTCCCGAGAATCCACTATCCTCTGAAACGTCGCCTTCTTCATCCGAAGTTGAAGATGTGGAACAAGTTCGCAAGGCTGCAAAAGCTGGAAATATTCCCAAGCGTCAGACCCACAGGAAATTGGCGAGGAAATCTTACAAAGCTGATGAGTCGTCGGAATCTGATGGGGATTTTTCGGCTGAAGAAGAATCTGACGGCGATTTCAAGTGAACAAAATGAAAAGAAAAAAAATGTTGATCGTCTTGCGGGTTTTCTTAGCTTTTGAAACGTTTGTTGTATTTCCTGGTGGAATTCAAGCTTTTTTGGTCTCAGGAACGAGTGTTTTCTTTTTCTGCATTCTGATTGTAAATCCTCCACGCACCAGATCTTTATAAATACTGTACTGTATGAGGCAAAATGCTCCGAATTTTATGCTCGAAAATCATGCAGAATTTTTCTGACGCAATTTTATTGTGCAAAATTATGATCTGTAATGTGGTTCGAAAAGAGATTCCTTTGTTTGATGACTGTAAATTTTCATGCCATATTTATGCATGCAAGGTACATCTTTTTATTAGGACAAAAACAATCGAGTGTGTTTCAAATTTGGGGAAGCATTTTTGAGGAATTGCCAAATCGGGTGTAAGTTATGTTCAATACAGTACTTGAATCATGTTGGGTGAAGTTTACATGGGATGATACTTTAGTACAAATGCTTTTTTGATCTCCTTAGACAAAAGCCTCTTGTTCCTTAGTGAGCAATTAACCAGAATTGTCTTGCAACTCTGTCAGGCAGAGGATGTTTACTTAACAGGGAGACAGGCACACGGTGGGATGTCATCTGACTCTGACACTCTCAAGCCCTACTTATATAGTGGTGCCTTCTTGCTGCATGCGCATGTCCTTCATCCCTCACTTGTGCTGTGGTTCCCACAGCAGTGGTGTATCATCATCATTCTTTTGCCTCCATGCATTTGTGTGATGCAAGACTACGTTCAAGTGTGCGCGTTTCAATTCCATTTGCAGTGCGTTGAAATTCGAGTTGCATTTGAAATTGCTGCATTATTGTATCACATTTTTGGTACGTTGTATAGAAATATTTTTCTGTTCGAAAAGATGGAAAACGTAAACTTTTCAAGTAGTAGTGTACTGTTCTGATGTAATGGCGCAAGTACTGCTGCAGTCCACTTATTATATATTTAGAAGTGTAAAAGAAGCCGTGTTGTATGCATCAGGATTAAGAGGAAAGAGCTTGTATAATTTTGAATGATTGCTTTTCAAATATCCTGTTTCTTGAGAAAAGAAGGCAGGTCGAATTGTCCATGATAATTAAAAAATGATAATTTTGAGCAATACGTTGTGTTATGTGGATAATGGGGAAGGCCTTTTCATCAGACGACTGTGAAGCACAATAAAATTTGTCAAATGTGAGTGGAAATTTTGGTGTTGGATGTGCATGATCAGGTCATCAGAAAGATTACCTTTGAAGAATCTGGAAATTGAAAGACAGTTGGCTGTAAAAGACGAAATTAAGGTCACATACTTGTATTTTGAAGAAAATAGATTCAGCTATGCGAAGACAAAAATTAATTTTTATAAATAGATCATAATAAGAAGGCCTTTTTGTGGAGTTTGTAAAAATGTATGGAAATTTTGCTGCAGTTTATATAGATTGCATTCTATATCATAAGCAGTAGTACAGTATATGTACAGTCTAGTCTCATATGTTTTTTTTAATGAAATGAGTTATTATTTTACAAATCATGCATCCTGTATCATATACAACATGTGCACCCATCATCTTTGAAGATCTTCTACCTGCAGTTATTGTTGTGAGTCATCAGCATCAGGAAAAACAAATCGATTGGAGTTGGTGTATTTTTAATTGTTTTCAAGAAGGCCCGCTTCTTTTCATAATTAGCTTATTGCTGTTTTAGCTAAAAGATTTTTGCGTGAATTACTCTTTGAGATATTTGAAGTTGCGGTATAGAACAAAAAATGGCGACATTTCGCGGAGTTGCAATTTGTGCTGTCCTTTTATTACTAACATCATGTCTCGTGGGGATTTGCAATGCGGAGGACGAATGGGCCAATATTGCGTCATGTAAGAAATTAATTCCAAGGCATATACGGTATTTAATATAGTATACCGTGTCTTTTGTTTTTTTATAATCAAAGGTGTCGAAGATGACAGGAACTGTGATGCAAAAGACGTGTCCTACAACTTTGCATGCTTCGACAAGATCCGGGATCACGTGAGGGAAGAACTGCTCGCCAGTTTGCAGTATCTAGCCATGGAAAGTTGATGATGATACTCTATATATAATGCGGATATTTATATGAACAGCAGTGGTTTAATATTATTTCGTTCCTCCTTTGATAATAATGAAACTATATGCAGGGAGCGTTTTTCAATCAAGGCACAGTGAACCGACCAGGAATTGCTGATTTCTTCTTCAAAAGTGCGTCTGAGGAGAGGCAACATGCCATGCATTTCATCAAGTATTTGATGATGCGTGGGAACCACAACGTTTCTCTCATCGTTGGAGATCTGGTAATTTATTTATTTTTTTTTAGTTCTCGCTATTTATATGCATAAATTAGGACGTATTCCGTTCAACTTATTATTGCTAGAATAATCCTATACTTTTGATGGAATCCCAATATTGCAGGATGAGCTGATTATGTTGCTGCAGGTTTGATGACGGGCCAAATGAATAAAATAACATGAAAGACAAATATAACGGAATTATTGCACAGTACTTTTGGAACATTTCCATATTGCAATCATTTCCTTAAATAGTGCTGGTTGGATTACTACTGCGCCATCTTGAAGAAATAATTAGCATTATTCATCATTTGATTTTCCTTTCATAATCATTTAAAAAAAATTTAAATGCATGTAATACATCAGCTGTTTTCTTGATATACTGTATCATGAGCATGCAGCATATGATGGTCATTTGCAAGAGTAACATGTTGCACAGCATTTTCAATATCACACCTTGGCATTTTCATTGTTTTTATTTCTCTGTGCAATATTTTGGTGGCGAATTGAGATTCTGTTTTTTTATGAAACGTGAATTAGGAGAGCTATACGCACCTCATTTAATTATATATATGCTCCTCTGCTTTCAGTTGTCTTTTTTTTCGAGAAGAAAGGATGATTCACAAATTTTGGGAATTAAGGCAGAAATCTGCGGATTATTAAATATATAAAACACCTGCTGTTGAGGAGCAAGAACCTTTTGTCAGACACTTGACCCAATGTTGTACTGTAGTAGCAGATGTTTAAAATGTATGGGATCTGAAGTTATTCAATTCAGGCGACTGGCAAAAAAAAAAAAAAAAGCTTCAAACTCTGTGGAATTTTTTTTGCGTTGCTTCTGTTGGTCATGTAATAATTCATTCATCATGATTGCGTAAACGTGATCGGTTGACAGTTTTTAAAGTATTTGGCTCAAATCGTTCAGCTATGATACAATTTTCATAATTAGCATTTTTTGTCTAATTGAAATATAAAACCTTTTATACTTATTGCTGAAAGTTGGAACAAATGTTACTCCTGCTGATGGTTCATGAGTATATATGCTGTAGGTGTGATGTGATCTGTGTGCTTTTTAATGCATGTCTTCATTAAAATTACAACGTATTATATTTGCAGCGACCAGCAAAAGTTGCTTGGAAAGATGCCCTGGAATCTTTTCGAGATGCCCTGGATTTGGAAAAGTCTGTGACTCAGAAGATTCAAATTGTTACGATGGCTTGTAACAAGGTGGACGACTTCACTGTAAGCCATCAGCAGCAGCAGCATGCATTTATTTTTCAATTGAATTGATTCATTCAGCCAGCGCATCAGCAGAATATTCCAGATTTGCCACTGCTGATTTTTTTTCTCAATTTTTCCTTGGTATATATATATATGTATATAAATCAACAGGCGACTGATTTATTGACAACCGAGTTCCTGAACGAACAAATACAAGGACTGAGGGATATTTCCGGGAAAATCGCTACACTCAAGTCCATGACCACGAAGCAACCGAATCTTGGAGAATATTTGTTTGACTTGAGTTTGCAGGAGTGAGGCTTTCATCTGAATGGCCATATCATCATCATAAATGTTGGTGTTTCAGCAGCAGTTATAATGGGGAATGTGCTTTATTCTGATGCAGCATGATGCTGATGATGAGGCCTTTGCTGGTGCTGTAAAATATCATCTGCTGATATGCAGAAAGCACGGGATAATAAATAAAACTTTTACCCGAGCGATGATGCATTTCGTTTTCCTGTTTATTTATTATATTTAATACTGTACTGCTTGTATACATATATATATATAGCCCCATAATAAAACAACAAGGTCCATAAATTGAGATTGGTTTATATATAGTTTTCATAAGTACAGTATATAGTGTATGTCAATGAAGTTTAATATTTCCCCAAAACTCTCATGAAATTTGATGCTGTACGTGTGAAAATTTATTTCTTATTTGGCACACCGCGGAAATTCATCAATTGTTATCATTGCGTCATATGAGTAATAATGGTACGTTTGACTTTAATTTTTCTAAATAGTCTTGACTTTTGTTGAGCTGTTGAAATTATACAGTACAGTACTGTAAAATAGATTTTGTTGTATGGTACAAATTTTTTTGAAATGCTGCTTACTTATACCTCTCATGCAATCGTCAAGGTTGTTAGGGCTAATTGCACATATGTACTTCACTTGATAATTATGTAAGCATATCATCACATAATTATTAACATCCTATAACTGCAGCAGACGAGTATGTCATGCGTTGAAATTCGAGTTGCATTTGAAATTGCTGCATTATTGTATCACATTTTTGGTACGTTGTATAGAAATATTTTTCTGTTCGAAAAGATGGAAAACGTAAACTTTTCAAGTAGTAGTGTACTGTACTGATGTAATGGCGCAAGTACTGCTGCAGACCACTTATTATATATGTAGAAGTATAGAAGAAGCCGTGTTGTATACATCAGGATTAAGAGGAAAGAGCTTGTATAATTTTGAATGATTGCTTTTCAAATATCCTGTTTCTTGAGAAAAGAAGGCAGGTCGAATTGTCTATGATGATTAAAAAATAATAATTTTGAGCAATACGTTTGTGTTATGGGGATAATGGGGAAGGCCTTTTCATCAGACGACTGTGAAGCACAATGAAATTTGTCAAATGTGAGTGGAAATCTTGGTGTTGGATGTGCATGATCAGGTCATCAGAAAGATTACCTTTGAAGAATCTGGAAATTGAAAGACAGTTGGCTGTAAAAGACGAAATTAAGGTCACATGCTTGTATTTTGAAGAAAATAGATTCAGCTATGCGAAGACAAAAATTAATTTTTATAAATAGATCATAATAAGAAGGCCTTTTTGTGGAGTTTGTAAAAATGCATGGAAATTGTACTGCAGTTTATATGGATTGCATTCTATATCATAAGGAGTAGTACAGTACTACATGTCAGATCAGAGTATACAAAAAAAATTACTTTACTCAATAATAAAATGTTTAGTACGTAGGACATAGTATATGTTGTACACGTGGGTAGTAGAAACTTCTAGAAGATGGACGTCAATAACAAGTGAGTCATCAGCATCAGGAAAAACAAATCGAGAGGAGTTGGTGTATTTTTAATTGTTTTCAAGAAGGCCGGCTTCTTTTCATAATAAGCTTATTGCTGTTTTAGCTAAAAGATTTTTGCGTGAATTACTCTTTGAGATATTTGAAGTTGCGGTATAGAACAAAAAATGGCGACATTTCGCGGAGTTGCAATTTGTGCTGTCCTTTTATTACTAACATCATGTCTCGTGGGGATTTGCAATGCGGAGGACGAATGGGCCAATATTGCGTCATGTAAGAAATTAATTCCAAGGCATATACGGTATTTAATATAGTATACCGTGTCTTTTGTTTTTTTTATAATCAAAGGTGTCGAAGATGACAGGAACTGTGATGCAAAAGACGTGTCCTACAACTTTGCATGCTTCGACAAGATCCGGGATCACGTGAGGGAAGAACTGCTCGCCAGTTTGCAGTATCTAGCCATGGAAAGTTGATGATGATACTCTATATCATAATTATTATATATACATATAGCAGTGGTTTAATATTATTTCGTTCCTCCTTTGATAATAATGAAACTATATATGCAGGGAGCGTTTTTCAATCAAGGCACAGTGAACCGACCAGGAATTGCTGATTTCTTCTTCAAAAGTGCGTCTGAGGAGAGGCAACATGCCATGCATTTCATCAAGTATTTGATGATGCGTGGGAACCACAACGTTTCTCTCATCGTTGGAGATCTGGTAATTTATTTATTTTTTTTTAGTTCTCGCTATTTATATGCATAAATTAGGACGTATTCCGTTCAACTTATTATTGCTAGAATAATCCTATACTTTTGATGGAATCCCAATATTGCAGGATGAGCTGATTATGTTGCTGCAGGTTTGATGACGGGCCAAATGAATAAAATAACATGAAAGACAAATATAACGGAATTATTGCACAGTACTTTTGGAACATTTCCATATTGCAATCATTTCCTTAAATAGTGCTGGTTGGATTACTACTGCGCCATCTTGAAGAAATAATTAGCATTATTCATCATTTGATTTTCCTTTCATAATCATTTAAAAAAATTTAAATGCATGTAATACATCAGCTGTTTTCTTGATATACTGTATCATCAGCATGCAGCATATGATGGTAATTTGCAAGAGTAACATGTTGCACAGCATTTTCAATATCACACCTTGGCATTTTCATTGTTTTTATTTCTCTGTGCAATATTTTGGTGGCGAATTGAGATTCTGTTTTTTTATGAAACGTGAATTAGGAGAGCTATACGCACCTCATTTAATTATATATATGCTCCTCTGCTTTCAGTTGTCTTTTTTTTCGAGAAGAAAGGATGATTCACAAATTTTGGGAATTAAGGCAGAAATCTGCGGATTATTAAATATATAAAACACCTGCTGTTGAGGAGCAAGAACCTTTTGTCAGACACTTGACCCAATGTTGTACTGTAGTAGCAGATGTTTAAAATGTATGGGATCTGAAGTTATTCAATTCAGGCGACTGGAAAAAAAAAAAAAAAAAGCTTCAAACTCTGTGGAATTTTTTTTGCGTTGCTTCTGTTGGTCATGTAATAATTCATTCATCATGATTGCGTAAACGTGATCGGTTGACAGTTTTTAAAGTATTTGGCTCAAATCGTTCAGCTATGATACAATTTTCATAATTAGCATTTTTTGTCTAATTGAAATATAAAACCTTTTATACTTATTGCTGAAAGTTGGAACAAATGTTACTCCTGCTGATGGTTCATGAGTATATATGCTGTAGGTGTGATGTGATCTGTGTGCTTTTTAATGCATGTCTTCATTAAAATTACAACGTATTATATTTGCAGCGACCAGCAAAAGTTGCTTGGAAAGATGCCCTGGAATCTTTTCGAGATGCCCTGGATTTGGAAAAGTCTGTGACTCAGAAGATTCAAATTGTTACGATGGCTTGTAACAAGGTGGACGACTTCACTGTAAGCCATCAGCAGCAGCAGCATGCATTTATTTTTCAATTGAATTCATTCATTCAGCCAGCATCAGCAGAATATTCAAGATTTGCCACCGCTGATTTTTTTTTCTCAATTTTTCCTTGGTATATATATATGTATATAAATCAACAGGCGACTGATTTATTGACAACCGAGTTCCTGAACGAACAAATACAAGGACTGAGGGATATTTCCGGGAAAATCGCTACACTCAAGTCCATGACCACGAAGCAACCGAATCTTGGAGAATATTTGTTTGACTTGAGTTTGCAGGAGTGAGGCTTTCATCTGAATGGCCATATCATCATCATAAATGTTGGTGTTTCAGCAGCAGTTATAATGGGGAATGTGCTTTATTCTGATGCAGCATGATGCTGATGATGAGGCCTTTGCTGGTGCTGTAAAATATCATCTGCTGATATGCAGAAAGCACGGGATAATAAATAAAACTTTTACCCGAGCGATGATGCATTTCGTTTTCCTGTTTATTTATTATATGTAATACTGTACTGCTCGTATACATATATATATATAGCCCCATAATAAAACAACAAGGTCCATAAATTGAGATTGGTTTATATATAGTTTTCATAAGTATATAGTGTATGTCAATGAAGTTTAATATTTCCCCAAAACTCTCATGAAATTTGATGCTGTACGTGTGAAAATTTATTGCTTATTTGGCACACCGCGGCAATTCATCAATTGTTATTATAGCGTCATGTGAGTAACAATGGTACGTCTGACTTTAATTTTTCTAAATAGTCTTGACTTTTGTTGAGCTGTTGAAATTATACAGTACAGTACTGTAAAATAGATTTTGTTGTCTGGTACAAATTTTTTGAAATGCTGCATACTTATACCTCTCATGCAATCGTCAAGGTTGTTAGGGCTAATTGCACATATGTACTTCACTTGATAATTATGTAAGCATATCATCACATAATTATTAACATCCTATAACTGCAGCAGACGAGTATGTCAGACATCATCCGAACGCATGTGTGGTTTATTATAAGTTATATGTATTATCATGAATGAGTTACATACACATTTAAAAAACGTATTTTACTGTATGTTTATGAGTTTCTGTTGCGAAGACAGTGTGGAGCACAAATTTTAAAAATTAGTCCTGTATATAGTGCATAAGCATTGATCCATCATGTTATAGCAGTACACATACGTTTGGAAAAAATTTTTAATTTCAAGGTCGGAAAATTTGAGGTTACACATTGATCGACAGTGTGATTCAATTTGGAAGAGCTTGCTCAGCCTGGCAAGCTTACAAAGTGTGTGAATAGAAATTTCCAGCAATTGAATATTGATGATAAATGTGATTGAACATAGCAGCGACCTCTATTTTAAAAATACTTGTACCTTTTTAGATGAGTACGCGTCTCCTTGAATAGGTCTCGCTTGAGAAGCGCGCGAGTAATAAGGATGTCTACGACAATAATAGTACCGTGATGTACAGTATTAACCCGATTCTTCCGCTGTCGTCGCAAAAATTTGACCTAGAATGAGATGCGATTGTATGCCACCAGATACACCTTGACCCAAAAGAGTATAGGAAGTCTGATTTCAGCAATGTTTCCGCATTTTATTTCGAGAATGAGGTGTATAAACATAGCGTTTAAGCGTTTTGTACTGCAGCAGGTGCTGATAAAAACTTGTTTTCATCACTTTGAAGCGTGTCATATTCACGGAATACGACGAGGAATGCTGCAAACTATTAAGAAAAAATTCCTAACGACAGCACACTTTTTTTTAAATATTCAGCAGGATCGACAGATATTTCTTTTATATTGCGGTGGTTAGATAGTGATATGCTGCTATACAGTATATATGCGCGCTATGCTGATTTTGAGAGCCCATTTGTTATAATTATCATCACAACTCCGAAAGTGCAGTCACTCATTGTAGATGAGTTTGAACACGCTGAACTTGCGTGTGGGAACCGGCCTTCGTGGGTTTCCTCTTTCTTTGTTTCCCTGTATAATTTCCTGGGTGAAGCATCCAGTTTTTCCAAGGGTGACATGGCCTTGGGATTTCGGAGACCCACCGCATGGTTCGGGTTCCATGCGCGCGCTTCTCACGAGGCATGCGTTGCACTCGTGCGTCGATCACTACATCTGGGTCTCCTCCATCCGCAGGCTCCTCTCCGAAGCCGGACCTGATCAGCGGGGGGCAAGAAAAGTTGTGATTCCACTGATTTCTATCTCGGCCCTTTTTTCATGTTACGTGTGGGGTTACCACAAGTTTGACGAGTTTCACGTGCTTCAGCTGAACATTGCAGGTACATCAGTTGTTCAGGCGGAATCACATCCGCTGTCTTCATTGAGCTATATATCGATAATATCATGTATTGAACGATGACTGATGTAAATAGAAAGGGGTTTTCTCTCCTACCACAATATAGGAACTATAGCATGTTAATTCACGTGCGTTCCCGTATACTAAGCTGGCTTATATTCATCAAATCTGAAGACTATCCTCTAATTCCAAATGACCATGAAATCTTGTCAACAATGCAGATATATTCCGTCAAACAATGTTGGACTTATGTTATACGGATTGAACTGTTGGTGATTGATGGAATGCGAAGAGTTCATTCATGTGGAATGCAATTCTTATTGGGTTCTTTTATGAGAGTCAATGATGATGTAATGGCTATCGTCGTAGCAAAACCCCTTCCATCAGCAGAGAATTTGTGCGAGAGCGTTTCGTTACTCAATTGCGATAGAATTACTTTTTTCCATGAAAATGCATCGAATACCATATAATTCCCATGAAGTCATCAAGGGTTGCTACTGTAATCCACGTTCAAATCGGCAAAAGAGGATGATAACAGAATCAGGAAGCCAGTCAGGAATGCCGTATGCTGATCCCTCGAAAGAATTTCATGCTGTCATCATCAACGGTGATGCTTGATTTATACTCATGGTGAGCTGCATGAATGAAAGTTGTTGGAAATCCCCGAAAAATGTGAAACGGAAGTCGAATGCCGGAGAAAGAAACTGTTACCGCGCAACCTTGGATTGACCCGCTACTCATCGTCGACAGAAGCCCCCTGGTTTTACAACAGACCCCGGGGAAAACCGGCGCGATCCCTCTAACGTTAGATCAGTGTGGGGCCAGGGTTGAGTCAGAACCCCAAGGAGCAGTGCATGTACAGCTAGTACAACAGGATGCACGCCGGTCTTGTTTTATTTGTGGTGCTTCTTGTGCAGTTTTCTCTTAATCGTGGAGTTCGATGGAATTCTCACAACGAAATTCCAGCATGCGCGCGGTGGATTCGTCACTATATACTGTAGTACTATCCGTGGAATTCGCGCAGGAATGCCTCACCTTGTATATCTTCGGTACATTTCTCGCCTCTATAATATACATTACACATCGGAGGAAATTCGTGGATGACGTGAAATGTGCTTGTGTGTTGAGAATATTATAGAAGCTGTGAGAAGAAATACGCAAATGGTGCGAAACAATAATGCCTGTTGCGAATAAAGAATGTGTGCGGGGTGATGGTGGCGTTTCGTGTGGACCTTGTCCGCAGTTTCGACATGTTGTGGTCGTTGGTGAGTGCTGCTTCGAGATTATTCGTGAGGATAAAAAGTAAGCCCTGTATTATATTTTTTTACATGTTGTTTTTGGCCTCAGGCTTGCACTAACAATTAGTACGTAGAGGCCGCGCTGCTCTATCTCCTCCAGCAACCTATGCAACTATGGAAAATACCGAAAACTTTACGGAAGCGCTACAGGAGTACGTCGCGTACATGTTCACTGAAATGCTGTATAGGTTTAGATATATAGAAGTGATCATCGAATGGCCGATCGTTCAAAAAAAGCCTAGTTTTGAGTGTAAGTCTGCGGGTTTATCATGCATATAGAACCATTCTGAAACCAGACAGAAATATTACTTTTGAGCCGGATTAGGATTGAATAATGAGCAGCATACCAGCATACAATATCATCCGTATTAGTCAATCCCTTGGCGAAGATGTTATTAATTAGGTGTCGTGGAACCCCTACTGGGAATTATAGGTTTGTTAATTTAGTCCGTTTGCCGAACCATGACAATTTATCTCGAAAAACGAAATGAAAAAGTTTCATTCTAGAGGCTTATCATGCAAAGATTACGCTAGTTCATTGCGTTTTTTTTCTTCTTGTAAATATTTTCCGTTGCGATGCAGGAAACGGCCCTTCGGCAATCACGCTTTCCTTCATGCTTTCCGGTCACTGGCCGCAGTACAACGGAAACCCAGTGGCTGACCCGTGCCTTCAATTGCGACTAGATGACACCAAGGACTTCTCTCTACAGGAAACGGCCCTTCGGCAATCACGCTTTCCTTCATGCTTTCCGGTCACTGGCCGCAGTACAACGGAAACCCAGTGGCTGACCCGTGCCTTCAATTGCGACTAGATGACACCAAGGACTTCTCTCTTATGGAGCTCAACCTAGAAGAGCTCAGCGAGGTTCGTTACTATCGATGATAACTAGGATTCCCATCATTATGTGACCACTTTTGTTATCTCCTTGAATACTTTATACAGTATTATTGATGCTCATCATCCCGAGCGTAAACGAAAGTTTAGGGTATAATTTTTCAACTCCAGCTCTCATCGTTGGAATCTGATTCCCATGCCTGATTATCAGGGTACGGTATATTGCATCATGGTAAGATCGTGTTGTGTGTTCTTTCCACACACAAAAAAAAAACGTATGAATTTATATAAAGGGTTTGAGCGGCAGGTCGAGGAACCCAGTTTCAGTTCTCTATGATGCTTTGACTCACCCTGACGCTGATTTGGGCATGACGAACCCTTCCCGACACCTGACCCGGGAAGCACTGCTATCTCGACAGTCAGTGCACCACGAGCCCTTTCCGTTTGGGCCGCCACGAACCGTGCACTCACATGTATAACATATAGTCATATTATATTATAAATATACACCTGTATTATTCAATCACTATTAGAGCCCGCCTAATCTGCGGGGCGCGGAATTGTTCGCAAAAAGAAAGTAAAGGTTTCGCGCGCTGAAAGCAGCGGAATCGCGTGTCCTAAATGAATGAATACAACTTTCTTCATAATTTTTAAAAATTAATATTCGTAATGGATATTATCGTAATATTCTTTGCAATACTCCCGCTTCTAGACAAAGGTCAAATAATGTTCCACTTCTACGAAGTCAAGATATGATTTTAAAGATGGTAGGATTGATTCAAAAAAAGGTGCTGAGTCATTCAACCTTTTCGTTTCTGCATATGGCTGCGTTGCAGCTCGACGCATTTAGTTGAACTTGCCACACCCTAAGAACTGACCTCAGGTACACGATTTTTCATTGCCTCGAGTTTCGCTCAAGTGCAAAACTGACGTTTAAAAAATGGGGTCTTCGTGGAGTAAAACGATTTAGAATATAATTTAATTTTACTCATGTAGAAGATGTTGTGATGGTGATGGGAAATGCTTGGATATTAATATCGAAGCTTGTATAAATTATTATTGTATTTGATTCGAATATACTGTATTACGATAGTGTAAAAAATATTCCATTCATGGCGTTTTGCCAATTGTCCTGCCGAAAATTTCAAATGAGAATTTGAGATCATTAAATAAAATGTTGACATACGGCACTTTTATTGTTTCTGAAGAGTTTTTCATGCATGCATATATAATAGCATAATTGAAGTTTAAATTTTCTTTTAACGTGGTAATACTGCATTGTGTTGTATACATTATACAATACTGTATACGCTCATAATAAACAAACCCTATAAAGAATCGTATCTCAAGTAGAGTAATGCATTATAAAGGGAAATGACATATGTTATCAAGTACGCAATCTTTCCTGCTCACTGCAGCACGCTTATAAACAAACACAGTGAATCTGTGCCAGTTACGTAACAGGCCAACCTTGTTTCGCGTGCCAAGTAGGTTTTCCTGGTTGCAGAGACCTTCGTCAAGATGAATTGATGAACTTTTCCGCTGATTACTTCCGTTCGGTCATTATTTTTGTCTTTGATTTCGTGGTGTGCGAATTCGTGCATTGATGGAAAATGAAGGTCAGGTATTGGATTTTCAACAAAGCCTTTTTCCTTCTGCTATCATTTAACGAAATAAGGCGATTATTAATGACTCAAAATTAATTAAGATTCATTTTGAAATAATAACACTACAGTATACAGTATAACAACAGATGAAGCATTTTAGGTTCAGCGTAAAATGATGGTTTTCAATAAGGACAGTATTCTCTTTTCCCTGATTATGTTTATCATGATAATACTGTGCAGTAATGAAGATGTATTGGATTATCTGCAGGCGATGGACGGAAGTATTTTGACACTGAGCTTCGGGACGTGGATGGAACTTCCTGACAGTGATTTCATGACATTTTGCGACGGCGCGAAGCGACCGACGGTGTCGACAGTTGCCAGGTATTACAAGAACTTTGTCCGACTCTTCGTCAACAGCGGAGTGAAAAACCTGTCTTGCCAACAGTGAACACAGGCTGCTGATAAGGAGTTGACGTTAAGGGGCACAGCGTTCACTCACGAAAACCTACTACTACTAGCTAAGTGAGTACCCTACAGAAGTTGTGATGCTTAAGATTATGGACTTGATCCATTTCAGTGGAAAATCTTTTTTTTTTTTTACTTTGTATATGTAAGAGGTGTAAATAGTGTAATGAGCTGTGCAGACTGACTAATTGCCTGGTTCAAAATTTCCAAAGTAATTATCCGAGTAGGTTATATAATCAAAAATATTTTATACTGTACTATATTTGTATCAAATTTCCAAAATTTTTTAAATGTCCTTTCAATTCCTTTGTAATTGCTGGAATGAAAGGCTGTAAAATGTGGGCAAGATGCATACAAGATGATGCGTCCTTATAACGGGGGTGTGATCATTAACTTTAAGGTTCATTTTATTACACTGTACTTTAATTCATTATTATTTCCCGTAGATTTGGTTTAGAAAAAATTGTAAGGTTACATTTTAGATCCACGTACGATCTACTGTAATCATTGGCTCCTCATACTAGGGGTTTTACGGTTCCGTGAGGATCGACTTGTTATTGTTGCTGTTCTGGTAAATTTTCAAAATTCAACAACTGAACATTTCAAGGTCTGTTTGAGCACATGGATCAAAAGAATGTAAAAATTGGTGGCGATGACATTGAGAGTGTGTCTGTCTGCTCTAGCCTCTTGGAACTTGTGAATAATTTGAGAAAAGTGATTTAGAAAACCCTTGGTGTTCAGATCATATCAAGTCCGCGCGGAAACGTGTAGCCCCTCGTACTCACAAAATGTGTTTTATTCCATTTATTTAATTTTCGATTGAACACAGTTTTCTGGCGATACAATGAGTTCACAGTCCATGCTGAAATTAGCAAATACACAAATTTTCCTCAACTGCAATTAAATCTCGTTTCAACAACAAAGCAAAGCTGACGTTGTCCTTAATTTAAATCATCAATGAATAGGTAACTAATTGAATCAAATTTCTGAATTGAATTTAATTTTTCGTGAAATAAACGTCAATTGCTGTTGTTTTTTTTTACTGTTAGGATTTTGCTCGAAGCCAGCGGGATGACATCATCGAGGCGCCGGAGTCTGAGTGCCCGCAGGGAAGTGGCGTCGGTCGCCGCCTCGCCGTTGTGCATGGCACAGCAGGCGCCTGGTGTCATCAACAGCTGTCGACGCCGCAGGAGCGTGTCCGTGTCGGCGTCCACTCTGGACAATGATAGCCCGTATGTGTGGGAAGTGCGTGGGTACCGGGAGCTGGACGTCGAGGACGACGGTGACGGCGACGACGGAGCCCGGGTTCCGTTCACGTTCGTCACTCCGAACGTGGTCTTGGCCACGGGCACGACCGACTCGAAAAACCGCCTCAACGTGCCTGGGGAAGACCTGGACTTCGTCATGCATTCTCTGGCTAGGGTCGAGGACTGGTTGGCCAACAAGAGGTCAGTTTTGCTTTTTTTTTGTGTCTCCCCCCCCTCCTATTTTTAATGTGTTCATTTTTTTTCGAAATAAAAAAATAAAATAAAATTGAGTAATTTAAAAATTGAAGTTTTATAATGAAAAAAAAAATCTGCGCTTAAGTTTACCTTATGTATTTTGTATGATGGAAGAATTTTGCCTTTTCAGATGATGAAACTAAAGAATAAAGTCATTTTAGTGCGAACAATTTTTTGAAGCGTAGACATTTTAAATTTAATTTCAATTAATAAAAAGTCCAACTATTAAATCCGCTGTGCTGCATCTGACCAGTAATTACAGGTCATTTTCAATAGAATTGTAACGTAAAATAAATAAAAGAAAGAAAAATACGAGCAAAAAATGAAGCATATACGATGATTGATCATCCTCTTTAGGTGTGCAGTTGACGAATGCTTGAAGGAGTACTTTACCAGCACGAATCTTTCTGTATAGTTGATTTATGGAATTTGGTTTCGAGATTCAGTACGGTACTGGGTGATAGAAAAGATGGATTTATTACTGACGTTTTAATGTCAGCTGCCGGGGAAATCGTTCACTGCACTGTACTGTAAATATGTAAATTATTAGTATTTTTGTGGTTGTTGTTGAAGGACTTGGGATGACCTGCCGTTGGTGGTGATCGGCGCCGGACTGACGGCGGCGGACGCCATAGTGGCGGCCATGAGTGCAGGGGTGGACGTTTACCACGTGTTCCGCAGGGATCCCTTGGATCCCCGCGTGATCTTCAACAACCTGCCGGCGAGTCTGTACCCAGAGTACCACAGGGTCCACGCGCTGATGACCAAGCGCCTGGTGGAGCCCGGCTATCGCGGGTTCTCCAAGTGCAAGGTCATTGGAATCCGTCCCTCGGGCCACGTGCTGGTCGAATGCGAGAACGGCTGTGGGAAGGTCAGTTTATTTGCGTAATAAATTGCTTGCACCTACGTATTATTCTCAACTATGCGTGGTGTTCAGCATATAGCGAGTATACAGTACTGCAATTTGCCTTTTTCGCGTCTCATCAGTGACGTAAACACATATATACTGTATACTTGCTTCAATATATTTGGCATCAATTTCTTCAGAGTTGGCTCGTCCTAATTCCCTTCATGAACATTGCTCGCAATTACACTGCCATCAATAATGTATCATACAAAATTTGTCAGTTAGGAGAAAACGTATAAAAACCATATTTGAATGCGCGTAGAAAATTGGTTTTTATCCGGGGAATATATCGTTTTTACTCAAGTAATACCGCGCACCAAATTTTTCAGTCGATAATTTTGATGAAATGTAGATCCGATTAGTTTAAGGCGCAAACCCCATTTTTAGCGAGTCTAAAACTGCAATCTTTCAAAGTGAAGAACACCCACATTTGAATTTAGACATGAATTGAGATAATTTTCAGCGGTTTTTATGAAATCAAAAAAAAAGGTTTTATGATAACATTGTCCAAAATTTCCCACTAAAAAAATTATTATACACTCCTCTTAAAGTGTAAAACTTTTCAAAATTTTTATAACCACCTGTGATGCACTCTTTCCTTTCAATTGCAAGAAATAAGGTACGTGTTGTACTTTTTGTCAAGTTTTGTTATTGATCTTGGTTGGTACGCACTATACAAGCAGTTACAGTATTGACGAAGCCTCGAATTATTTCCGGTGTGTGAATTGCTTGAAAAGCATTTACCGCTTATTTTCTTAGAATGCTGGCAGGCATTTTCTGAAGCTTCCTGTTCCTTTTTTTAATGAAATTTGGCTATCTTAATTATTAGTCGAATGTGAAGATCAAGGGTCTCGTATATACTGTATACGCAAAATCCTTTTTCTCGATTGCATGTAGATGTCGCTTGAATATTGTCGGAATTACCGTATATACGCTTATTTGATCCCGGATCAGACGCTATTACGTATATAGATCAAGTTATCTCAGTTTGTTTCATGATTTTAATGCTGGTTCACCGTGTTGGAAAAGCATTGTACAAGTTTCTTGGTTTTCTTGTTCCATTTGCCCAGCCCAGGGTTTTACACGGTTGGCCGCTTTTATTGATGCGGTCGATGCCTTCTTTCTTTCAATTAATGAAGCCGCGTCAATTAAAAGTGACCTTGAATGCGAGCTGCTTTGAAATGCAGTAATCGACACGACGCGGGTGACGTGACGACTTTATTCATTAATGAAGCCTTTGTCTGTTGGAATCAAGCGTCGCACGTACTGTATATGTAGTATAGTGTGACGAAAAAGGGGATGGCTTCCATCAGCGTGGGTTCACGCGAATTTCCGTGTCGACGAATGCCGTGAATAATCATGGAATGAATAATGTAAAAATACCGCTGTTCTCGCCCGTGTTTAGTCGATGACTGTACTAGAGCGATTCTTCTGAAGCGCAGTTTTTTGCGTGACCTTCGGGTGCCCTATTTTTTTTTCTTCGTATGTTCTGGCGCTTATATTCATACTGGACGAAAGAAATTTTGGCAAATCTTTCAAGACTCGCTGGTTGGTACAGTACTTGCGTGCGTTACATTTTGCGTAGCATCCGTAACTGTTGGGCTCAAAATAGATTTCGTTACAGTCGAACAATTTATTCCCCTGGTTTAAAGGAATAATTGGAATCTTATAGTGAATGAAGGTTTTTCTCGGCAAAATCACTCTGCGTAAAAGCGATATGTTGCGAGTGTGACAATAATAACATGAGAATTTAGGAAATATGATTTTAAGAAACCCGGAAATGTCAGGTTTTCTTCACTTTTCCGCACTGCGAGTGCTGGTCAGTTTTCAGTGTACAGTATATATGCAGCCAAAGTCAGTTTCGAAATTTATTGTGTATTCAAAGTCCAGTATAACTTACAGTATATGTGACTTGATGATGATTCCTTCATGTAAAATATCCCATAAAGCGCACACAATTCCGTTTCTTTTTGTCAGAAATGGAAAACGTTGTGCTGTGTCTTAATAAATGTGTAGACTTAAGTTTTGAGCATTAAGCATAGCGATGGATGTTTCGGAAAAAATCTGATTTCTCCAAAAGAGATAAAAAAAAAGAGTTCGTTGAATATTTGTATCAGCTTTGGAACAATAAGCTGCTGCTTGTGAAAATACTGCACGGTATTGATTTTTATGCAGCCATGGCGATTGCATGTGTGTACTGTATTGTATATTACTGCCCATGTGCGACGGATCAATAATGCTTGGAAAGGGTTTTTTAATTTTTGTTTTTCCTGCGTAGTATTGTTTCTTTTTTTTTCGTTTGCGATGACTATATCACGATGTTAATCAAGCACGGAAGGGAGGAGTGAGGATTGGCTGTGTTATTGTTTGCGTGATGAGGAATTTCTTTTTGTTAAAGCGCTGTTGATGAGTTTTTATTTCGAATTCTTCTCCTTTCGTTAGCATAGAACGTTAAAAAAATAATAAAATCAACAGTAGTGCGTTTCAAAGTATAAGGTCGTCCAGTCGATTTAGTCGATGCCATGCATATTCGGTCCATTTGTGTTTATAAAGGGTGGATCTTGAAAAAATTGAGTCGTTTTTACATATATATTTCTTCTACTGTTGAAGCTAACCTCCAATAGCAAAAAGTTATCGGGAGAGCTGTGTGTATATAGCTTCTCATTTGAGCAAATACTTTTGTCAAATCGTGAGTCATTCATTCTCGAACTTACTATTTATTGTAAACAGCAGAAAATGAGACGCATTTAAAATGAACGCACCTGGGCTCATACTTTTCGGGGAATCTGTGTTTTTGCGCTCTTATGTTGAAGGGGTGATTCATGCATGTGCCGGGGTATTAAACTTATATACGTCATAATAATAGTGAATAACGCATGTGCTTACGCTCATGATGTTGTAATAACAAGGCGCTGGAGTGGATCACGAGACATCGGAGAAATGTTATCCCAAGTAATTTTAACCCCGAGGCATTGCTGTAGAATATCTCGTTACTTAATTGTCACTCAGTACTGACGAGCAACTGATGAGGACGACTGCTGCAAGTGGATCCATCAGGTTTTTTATTTTTATTTTTAATCGCGACAAAAAAATAAAATAAAGAAGAGTGGATTGAGTTGTCATGGCTCTGAATGTGTCTGGAGTGCTTCGTCCATGTATATACCGCGACGACAATGATAAGCAAAGGTACTTGCTTCTTTCGCTGAATAATGCAGTACTTCATGAATACTTAATATATGCAGTACAGTATATATATATATATACTTTACAAGTATAGTGTGGCTGCGGGTCCGGAAGAACTTCATTTACATTTTATCAAGTCAAGTTCCGGCTTTTTTAGAATGGGCTGTGGATTCGAGTTTGCATATTTCTTATTTTATTTTACGTGGCGCGAAAGAAACCGGAACCCTGAAATGTTCACCGGATTTTTATTCATTTATTTCAATAGTTGAATAATAAATCAATCCACGACGTTGAGTTGATGAAAAATTTCTGCGCTTTTCCAGCATGTGTATACGAGGGTCTGACAAATGTTCTCATCGGAATTGAAATTGAAACTGCAAGCGATTGCGCTGAAAACTCATTACTGTTGAGAAAAAATATTCTTTGGCGCAAGAAAAGTAAAAAGTCGGTCGTTTTTGACATGATTTTCTGAAAATGTTTGCGAAAATCACCCTGGCAGCTGATGCCAGATGCTCTACTTTCAAAAGATGAGGTTGATGTACCCCACTTTTCCCTTTGGAATTATTGAAATTGACGGGATTAATTCCAAGAATTGCCGACATTAATTGATCATTAATTCTGCCATTTTCATCAACGGCTGCTGCCTTCACAACCGCCGCTTATTGGGATGAGAGTGTGGACATGGCGAAATTCCTTTGAAAGAACTGGAAACAACCCTTGGAATTTATTTCATGTCGATTTGAAAATTTCTGAAGGAGAAGCTTGGCTGCACCAAAAAATCTGCGAGATGGGCGCCTCATGTTTTGAATGAAGAGCAGAAAGCTGTCCGGTTGACTTTTTCAACAAATTCTAACAAAAAAAAGTGAAACAGGGCTGGATTTTTCTTGTGCCGCAGAATCTTTTTTTTCTTTTCTGAAAAAATTTTTTTCAGCTCCATCATACGCCGTTTTTAATTTGTTTCCCGGGAATCTTTGTTCGACCCTTCGTAGAATAACTTGATGTGGTCCATCATTTTTTTCGGGAGAAAGGGTCCGCTAATTAATTTCCTCGAAATGTTATCGTGGCAAAAGAACTTGACTAAAATAACTCACGAGAATATTTTTTGTTCAAAACTTGTTTTCATATAGATAAAAGCTGGAGCCGTAGCTGCATTGATCGGATCAAAGCCGAACCTCGAATTCATGGGCAGGCTGAAGAACAACCTGGGCGTCGTCCCTGGGCTCGCCTTGGACTCAAAGGTCAACGTGTTCGACGGTGACCCGTTCTCCCACGAAAGCAACTCATTCCCGGGATTGTACGCCCTTGGGCCGCTGGTGGGGGACAACTTTGTCAGGTTTCTCCAGGGCGGGGCTTTGGCCGTTGCAGCAGCTGTTCACCGCAAAAAGCAACACCAGCAGCTGCAGCAACGACCATCATCATCATCATCATCAGGAGGGACCACTTATTGAAACTCGAGACTTATACCTCTTTTTTTGCTCTGTGTGCGTGTCTTTTATTATTATTGTCTCGTCGTCGTCTAATATGATGTCTGTCATTCCTATATCTGCTATATGCTGGAAAACGATGTGTTCCTGTTTTTGTTGATTTGTTTTTTTGGGACGAGTTTATCCTGAATTTCTTGCTCTTTGTGTGATGCTAAATGTTTTCTCTTACTGAAGATGATTGGATTTCTTACATGATTGAGGAGATATGGGCATTTTAGATGAGTGTGCCAGCTTGTGATTGCGGGCTTCTGATTTGCTGATGATGAGTCTGTTTTTCAAGTATACAGTGTAGTAGTACTTTGGCTGCGACGAAAAGGCTATATATAATGGCTATATCGAGTTGGGATCAACGGATTGCTATAGAGGATTGAGCGATTTTCATCCTGTGATGTGTCCCCTGGCTGTGGGGTGGCTTTTTTTGGGCTATTTGACAACATTTTTAACTATATACTGGGTGGCTATTGTAATGCATGAGAGAGGCTGTTGAATAAATGGCTGCTGCAACTCTTGGATTTGGTTGGAAAAGTCTCCCGTGTGTTGGATCATCATGCACTGCTGATGCACATAGCTTTTTTATTGGTCTAATAAATATCAGTCAGGAAGAGAGAAATGCTGGTTTTTGTGTATTATTATTCTGAAACCGATTTATATATTTAACGGATTTATTTTGTTTCGAATGTTTAAATTTCAAGGAAAAGGACGAGAACGCCTTTTTCGTGATTGTCATTCGTACAGCAACATGCATTGATGTAGCTTTTATGATTACCCACGCGCCACGCATCCAATTATCTTTTCCCCCATGTTCGATTCAGCATGAGGAAGAAACAAACGACAGTAGATATGATGCTATTTATTTCATTCGAATTAATATACTGTACATAGAATTGATTTTAAATGCATATTTAGCGGGAAGTTTTATGATTCTCAAATAAATGCGGGTGCTAACGTTATTTCCGGATCTGTCGTATCGTGATGGTGTTCCAAGAAAATTAAAAAGGTTGCGTGTGGTGTGAAACGATTTCAGAGTGAAGTCCGAAAGAAGATCATTGCAAAACTTCTAGTGTGTGTGATTGAATTTTCAGGGTTGTGTGCTGGTATTTGAGGAAATATAGTCAAAAACAAGATTTTTATATCTGGTTTTATGAATGTTGATTACTGGGAATCTATTCCGGGTTTTATGGCCTGCTGTGGATGAAGGGATTTCTATTGCTGAATCTCTTTCATTTTTGGCAGGTATAGATAGATGTGCAAGGTGGCAATAATGACGGATGGACTGGATGCTGGCTGTGATGATTTACCAACAGAACAGAGTTAACCCACAAAATGCTAGGGTGCACATGGGCTCGTAGAGGGCATTTACGGCGGCGACAGAGGAAGTGGAGATGCGAGGTACATCAGCTGACTAACTTTTATGATTCGCAGAGGCTCAGTGATTCTTTCGCGCGCCGGAACGAAATTTCCCCGGACGGGTTTTACGAATTGTGGTCGAATGGCTCAAGTCTCCCTACCGGAGTTCCCTGTGTGGGGACTTGTGCCAAAGAAAGAGACTGGAGCTTCGGCGCTGCTTGAAAGGTTCCCCGATTTCGATGGTCGGGGAGTCGTTATTGCTGTGTTTGATACCGGGGTAGACCCCGGGGCCCCTGGTCTTCAAGTGACTTCCGACGGAAAGCCAAAAGTCATTGACCGAATTGATTGTTCCGGATCCGGTGATGTCGATACTTCTACTGTGGTTGAAAAAGGGCCCGACGGGGTGATAGTCGGGCTGTCGGGTCGAAAGCTCAAGGTTTGTCGATTTCCCTCGGACTCGAGAAATAATTATATGCTTCATACTTCATTACTTTTTGTTTTCACAGATACCCGATTCCTGGAAATGTCCGAGTGGGAAATTCCATATTGGTCTGAAGGATATTTCTACTCTCTACCCGAAAAGCGTCGCAGAACGTGTGATGAAGGAACGGAAAACAAAGGTGTGGGATTCAGCTCACAAGCTTGCTGTGGCAAATGCTGTAAAGGAGTTCAAAGATTTTGAAAAATCAAAATCCAGCGAGGAAGTTGACCTGGAAGTCAAGTTCCAAAGCGACGAACTAGAAGCTCGAGTCGAAGTTCTGTCTGCGGCAGAAAGAACCTATCCGCCGTTTTTGATTCCTTCGGCCGACTGTGTTGTTTTTCACGATGGTGAAAGATGGAGGTGAGAAGTTATATTTAAAGTTATCCAAATCGCCAAATAAAGTAATTCGCGTTTTCTTAAGGGCGTGTGTCGATGCCGAAGGTCAAGGTGATCTCGAAAAGTGTAAAGTGATGGGAATATATCGGGAGACCCTCGAATTTTCCAGCTTCAGCGATCGTGACGTGCTGAATTATTCATTCAACATATACGATGAAGGGAATTTATTGGAGATCGTCGCCGTCCCGGGTGATTTCTATTTTCTGCGTACATTGTACTCTGTGATGAAATAAATGTGTTAAACGTGTGACGTTTTTGTTTGTTCAGGAAGCCATGGAACGCACGTGGCGTCCATCGCGTCGGCGAACTTTGCGGACGAGCCGGAGAAGAACGGCGTCGCTCCCGGCACCCAAATCGTATCGATCGGCATTGCCGACAGCCGCCTGGCGACGATGGAAACTGGCACTTGCCTCATCCGAGCCATGAATTACGTTATAGCTTCTAGGTTACCCGGTTTTCCCGGTCCACCGATTGACCTCATCAACATGAGTTACGGTGAATGCACCTCATTTACGGATTCAGGGCGCATCGCTAAGCTCATGAGCGAAGTGGTCGTGAAATACGGCGTCATCTGGGTAAACTCAGCCGGCAACGAAGGTCCGAGTTTGTCGACAGTCGGCGTCCCACCGGACCTTGCGGACGATTCTTTGATCGGTATCGGCGCGTACGTGTTCCCGGAAATGGTGATTGCGGAATATTCGCTTCGAGAGAAGGTCCCGGAAATGCCGTTCACGTGGGCTTCTCGTGGGCCGACGAATAACGGCGCCAGAGGCGTCTCTTTGGTGGCACCTGGAGCCGCAGTGACGAGTGTGCCCAATTTCACGCTGAAAAATAATGCGTTGATGAACGGATCGTCGATGGCGTCGCCGAATGCATGCGGGTGTTTCGCGTTGGTGTTGTCCGGCTTGAAGGCGAAGAAACTGCCGTACACACCGTTCAGTGTGCGGAGAAGCATGGAAGTTACGGCGAAGGCCGTCGACCGGGATTGTTGCTTTGCTGAGGGGCATGGACTTATTCAAGTTGGTTCTTATTCTGAAGTAGTCTTCGTGTTATATATGAATTCACCTTTGGAACATTTGAAACATCAAGTGATGAAATTTGTTGGGATAAAAGAGCGAGACTGTAGTCCTGGCGTCATATCCTCGGATTTTCAGCGCTTCTTAGACTTAGAGGATAGGGAATACCGTATTTTTGACGCGACAAAATCCCAGTGATAAAAGTAAACTAAAATACGTTACGGAGAGAAATGAATCGTTCACTTCGCAGTACAAAACCATATTTTCATCATCTCATTTTGGCAAGCAATCGTTTTCCCGATTTCATTTTTTTCCAGCCGTTTGCCTTGGCATATAATGTGAAACCATCCCGCTCTCCTCTCGTGGGTGGACTAAAATGGTCGTTTTTTCATCATGATCACAGTTTTGATGCGAAATTTAAAATCTAATGTTCTGAGCTCCTGGAGATGTTGACTTTTTAGTATTGTCTTGAATATTTCATATGCCAATTTAGTTTGTACTTTGTCATTTCCCCCCTAAAATTTGCATCCCCTATCTTTCTATGACTCGCATGTAAAATCGACTCTTTCCTCTTAGCATTTGGGATCGTTTTATGTAGTCGAGCACTTATAGCTGAAAGGTTTCTTCCAATGCGTTATCAGGGTATTCCAATATGTATTAAGAAAACATCTGAATTGATCGCGAAATTCCCTTGCAAAAGGATAATGTATTTTGAATTTTTGGAACTTCAGGTTGACAAAGCACTTGATCACTTGCTGACGTGGTCCAAAGAGCCTGTGGTGAACATGAACTTCGTCGTGAACGTCGGGACTAACCGTATGAGTGGCATCTACATTCGCGGTAATTACGGAGAAAGCGCCACAGTTCACGAGCGAAGCGTGGAAGTGGTTCCCATGCTCTTGAATGACGAAGAAGCGGATACCAAGACCAAGATTGATTTTGACAAACGACTCGTTTTATCGAGCTCTGCGTCTTGGCTGAAGCATAGTTCGCATCTGAGCGTGTCTTTCGGCGCCAAGACGTTCGTCATCCGCGTGGACCCGACTGGTCTGAAGCCAGGCGTCCATTTTGCAGCTGTGAAGGCTTACGACGTGAGCAACCCGGGCCTGGATTGGCTTTTTGAAGTGCCAGTGACTGTTGTCAAGCCGGAGCCAGTGACGGAACAAGACGGCTGGATGAAGAGCTACGAGAAGGTCCACTTCGAGCCAGGCGTGATTAAGCGTCACTTTTTCCTCATTCCGGACGGAGCCACGTTTTGCGTGTTTCGCATGAAGGCGCCGGTTGGCGAAAAGTCGGCGAGATTCATTCTGCATTGCGTGCATTTCAAAAATGACGAGAGTTATAGGGGCATGCACTTAAACCGCGTCATCAGCATCTCTCAGGACAGCTCCGAAGCCAAGTTCATCTTTCAAGTAAGACGAGTTTGAGATTTTTTTGTTGCGAAAACTGCAACGCCAAACTTGACACGTTTATACGCGAAATATCTGCTCGAGGTTGGAACTGCGTGGAATTATACTTTGATTCTTCACTGTAACTCTTTTTAGAACACGGTAAAGCTTCGGGTACCGCGGATAAAACTTGATCGTCATGCTGTTTTCGTCCCATTACCGGAAATGCATTTATTCAAAATAATAAATATTATTTTGCGTGTTTGCTTGCCATTCAGTGAGAGGAACAATGGTAGATTAAGTCGAAATCATGTTGAGTTAATGTTAGGAATTGTACCATATTTCCTAGACACTGTATCAATCGATGGTTTCATGCAAAAATGTTGAAAATCATAAAGCGAACTGTGAAAAAATGAATATGTTCGAGGTGGTTTCAATATCATTTTTAATCAGAGTTGAAAAAATTGGATTCTTAAACTGACAATGCTAATAGCTGTGTTGAGCTTTTATTGTATTTCCCAAAATATTGAGACATCATTTTTGATGTTTCAGGTGAGGGAGAAGCTGACTTTGGAGGTGACCGTCGCAAAGTGGTGGGCTAGTTTGGGCAGCGTATCTGCAGACTACAGCATCGAATTCGGATCAGTGAAGCCGTCGATCAGCGACTCGACACTGACGATCCACGGATCCGACGGAGTGACACGCGTTGATGTGCGAACTGAGCTGAGCCAGCAGGAAATATTGCCGTCCATATCGCTCAAGCAGCACGTGGTCGTCTTGCGACCGACTGAGTGGAAACTGGAGCCTCTCGGTGTCAGAGACACCATTCCCGGCGGAGGACGAATTTATGCTGTGAATTTATCGTACAATTTGCACGTGCCAAAGTCCGGGATTGAGGTTGTGCCGGTTTGCTCGCTGCTGGGAGATTATTTGTACGAGAATGAGGTTGAGAGCCAATTGTGGATGTTGTTCGATTCTAATAAGAGGCTTGTTGCCTCTGGCGACGCCTTTCCTGCCAATTACAAGACCAAGTTGGACAAGGGCGACTACGTTATCAAACTTCAGGTTTGTGCGACATTTGGCACTTGTTTTTTTTTTTTTTTTTTGACGTGAGGGATCGTCCAGGAATTTTTTAGAAATTAGAGACTGAATACTAATCGGAATGAAATACAGTACAGTAATGTCATGAAATTTCCTTGTGTTGAAAAAGTTTGCAGTTTCAGCGACTCTTGGGTGACAAGACGTCGAGATGTGTTTCAGAATTCCAGATAGATGAGCAAAGCAATTTTAAATAAAAAAAATTTTGAATTGAAAGAATGAAAAAGTTGTGGACAATTCATCAACCCTCAGGTGCCATTGTAGCAATGCTCACGCACATACGTATACTGTACTGTGATTGAATTGATGTCGGACTGCTGGAAAATTTGAAACTGGAACCAACTGTCAACGACATTTACCCGCAAAAAGAGGGATTCGATGTTGCCGCGGACAAATTTGAAAAATGTTACGATTTTTCAAGATCTTCTGGTTTATATGACAGGAGTGATTTCGATCAGCATCAGTAGAGGGATTCCGTTATTTTTGAGTAGCTCATGACTCAGAACCGGGGTTTTGTTTTGAAGGTGCGACATGATAAGAAAGAACTGTTGGAGAAAGTGGCAGCGGACCTCATAATGACGGTGTCGATGAAACTGTCGTCTGCCATCAACTTGGATGTGTACCCCACGTGGAACGACGCCATCACATCGGGCAAGAAATTCCGGGCGACGACTTGTTCCAAGAATACGTCTGTGTCTGCGTACATTTCTCCGTTCCTGCCAGAAAAGTGAGTTCATCGTCTTGTCCATGTCGAAAAACAATTATTGTTTCTTGAAAAAAAATCTTTCCTATTTTTTATAGGCCTGTGAAATTGATCCCAGTCGGCCATATGTTAACTGGCACAATCTGCTATGTACGTGACGAGTGGATGAAAAAAGCGGTGAGTTTTGTTCTTTGTGTACATTTTGCATAATATTCAAAACGATGAACGCCTCAAATAATTAATTTTTACACAAAGAGCTCAGGCTGCTAGTGAAATAAAGATTGCATGAAAAAGGATTCTCCAGAAAAGAATCGGAAGTCGTTTAGGTGAATTTCGCTGCCAGCATAAGTTGTCGAGAGTATACGAAATCTTTTTTGAAAATAATGTTGAGCACTGTTTTTTCTGTTTGTTCCTGAACGTTTTTACCCCTTTGTTTGTTTATGTCAGCTGTTAATTTGAGGGTTTATGAAATAAAATTCAGTAAATAACAGATTATCCATTTCGCTCAAGTCGGCTTCACCGACGGTAGCCGTTGTTAGACTTCTTGAGAATGTACTCCCACTGATGAAGATCAAAGTCCATTAACTGAGTCACCGCTCTGTATTGTATTTCGTTCGTAAGCAGTGCTCGTACCCGATCAGATTTGTCATTGCCGAGCACCCGAAGAAAAATAGTAATGCTGCTGGGAAAGAAGAAGCGGGAAAAGGAAAAAAGAAAGACGACGAAAAAGACGAGAAGAAAACCGACGCATTTAAAGAAGCTGTTCGAGAGCTGAAAATCTCTTGGATTGGAAAGCTAGGTAAAGAAGCTTTGGGAACGAGTTATGAAAATGTTTTGTTAACTGCGCTAAGGTGAAAAGAAAACATAGAAATTGATCGAATTTTTTGGATATTTTCCCCTAAGACGACGAAGAGGCAAGACGCAAATTATACCTGGAAGTTTCCAGCTCTGAGGGTGACAACGGAGACGGAGACAAGCTGGACGCCCACGTGGCCTATTTGCAAAGCTTGTCTTCCAAGGTCGACCTCTGCAAGGAAGAGGTTGAGGTCGACCCGAAGAAATTGGACCAAATCGTCGAAGTCTGTAAAAAGATCCTTTCGGGTGTTAACACGGAACGGGTTCTGGCCTGGATTGGCTCCAAGAACCAGGAAATGCAAACGGATTATGCCAAGAACAAGCAGTGAGTGTTCTGTTTAAGTACAGAAAGAACATTCGACTGACTGTCGGTTTTTGTCTTCCTTCCTAAGGTTGATGGAAAAGCAGAAGAGTGCCGTGATTGAGGCTTATTCGAAACTCGGGCTGTGCGTGTTGGCTCGGAAGCAGGGGCGGCTGGACGAGGCTGGCAAGCGAGAGGCGGCTGATGCCGTCATGCAGGCGCTCAAGTTTGCCGACGCGACGGACGCCAAAGTGATTAGGCTGATTGTGCGCCACGCGCTGGCCCTAGGCCATCGGGCCCGGGCAGTCAAATATTTGTGGAAAATCCGGTCCGGGGACGTTACCGGCGTCGAGGGAATCACGGCGCAGGAGGCAGAGTTGTGGGCTGCCAAGCTGTGCGACGAGCTCGGTTGGCCTCATGTGTCCCGCTTGGCCAGGGTCTCGATCCCGACCCGCTTCCCGCCGACTTACGAGCTATTTTGAGCAATGGAGAAAAGAAAAAGAAGAGGGAGGGGAAGGAAAGTCTGGTAAAATGGGGCAGCAGTAAAATGAAAATACGAAGTGTGTTTCGTGCCTTGAAAACTGTTATCCTGGGAAAGGTCTTCAAATTTCCACAACTTCCAATATTCACGTCTGCGGTTCTTTCAAGATCCGAAAACCCGACCCACCTTTCTTTTCTTCTTCTCCAGATCCATACAGAATAAGGAAGGAAAATGCCTTCGAGAGAACAAAGAAACGGTTTTTCGAAAGCTTTTCCGGAGTACAAAAACGATGCATTTCTGGAATTCGAACCTTGCCCTGTGGATTTGAAATTTTTTTGTTGCGCGAAGTTGACAAACTGTTCTATGAATTTTGGTGTAGGAAAGCGAAGCGGGAATCGTGTCCGGATTAGGAATTTTTGTTTGTTTGATTTTGATTAGCATTCCTGCGTATGAGCACGAGTCTGCGTGTCCTTTATTGTGGGCGTGTAATTGTTCAATGCGTTGGAAACCATTGTACTGTATTGGTAAAGTTGGCGGATTCGAAGAAAAGGTTATTAAAATTGGAGCACAACTAATACGAGCCCCGTTGAACTTGTGGTTCTTTTCTTTTTTCTCCCTTTTTTTTTGTTTCTCGGCACCGTGACTAGTGAAAAAAGCGTTTTTCCGAACGATGTTCATGATTTCGATTCCGTGAAATGTAGGAATGATACTGGGTGTACGTCTCCGGATTGTGGAGCAAATTCCGTTTCAAAAATTCCTGTGTCGTTCTGGTGATTCCCTGAAACTGGGACATTTTCATAATGAATGAATGAGTCCTGTTTTTCCTTCTTCTTTGGGTTATATATTTTTTTCCTAGTGGATGACATGAACATTTGGCGCGTGTTATTTTCTCAACGGTATTTGTGGGCGACTAATACAGTGAGCAGTGGCGTGTTGTTGGGCTTTGGCGATGTCATCCAGCAACACCTCAAGTTTTTCACGGCAGTCAAGGAGAAGAAGACATTTGAAAAGGTTGGAACGGGGAGTTTGCGCCACTTGGGCGTAGAATGGAGCCAGTGGCGATATGACTTTCGGAGAACCTGGAGAATGTTTCTGGTGGGGCTCAGTCAGGGTCCACCTCACCATTGGTGGTACACCTTTTTGGATAAGGTGAGTTTATATTATTTTTTATTTTTTCATCTCGGTCCATACTTGAATTTTATTGATGGTGAATAGAAAAAAAAAATTCCAGGCTTTGCCCTCGTACATATAATTGAAGCTCGATAAATCAAAGCTCCCCATGTCGAGTTATCTTCAAGTCTATGTCTGAAATTACCTGAGACAATACAGTACAATGGAATCAGAAGCCTATCTAACTTCAAGACTTCAGCTCTCAAGCCTCCATAACTCGACTTTGAATGAAAGGAAGTAAAAGACAAAAGTAATTTTGGGAATGAATCCTTGCCACCAAGTTCAGCATCAATCCTGTAAACTCATTCAAAACGCAATTTAATGCCCAGAATATCACCAATTACGATTTCGTGTAAATCTTATTTTTTTCCAAAACAAAAATGCTTGTTTCCTTTACTCGATTTGTTTTGCTGGTTCCTTCAGGCAGTCTTCCTCAATTTTCCGCTTTGAAAAAAAAAAAATCTTTGAACAGGTGTACCCCTCGAAAAGTTTGCGAACAGTCGGGAAGAAGATCCTTGCAGACCAGTTGGTGGCAGCACCGTTCTTCGCGGTCACGTTCTTCCTCGGGATGGGGTATTTGGAGAAGAAAAGCTTTGACGAGATTATGACGGAGTTCGTAAAAAAGTTTCCGTCAGTGTATGCGTTTGACTGGGCCATTTGGCCTCCAACGCAATTCATCAACTTTGTTTACGTCTCTGCTGCATACAGGGTGCTTTACGTAAATTTGGTGACTGTCTTGTGGGACGTATTCCTCAGTTACATAAAGCATTATGACCAGTGCGCACATTCGGTGGATTTCGATCATTGCCGATGATCTAGTTTTTTCAGGTTGATGATGAGCAAAGGCATCATTCGTGGCATTAAAGCGATACGAATTTGATTTGTGATAGCAAAAACCACGGCATCGTCATCATTCCCTCGCTAATGTTTTTTTGTTGTCAGGTTCCACGCTGAGGCAGATCTGGAAAGGATTTTAATGTTTTCAAGGCTTTTTTCGTCTGTGGCGAAAAATCGTTCAATTCAATCGAGCTTATTTCAGTCACGAAATATTTTGATCAATTGTTGACTCGTCGCAGAAGATGGCAGCACCGTTCTTCGCGGTCACGTTCTTCCTCGGGATGGGGTATTTGGAGAAGAAAAGCTTTGACGAGATTATGACGGAGTTCGTAAAAAAGTTTCCGTCAGTGTATGCGTTTGACTGGGCCATCTGGCCTCCAACGCAATTCATCAACTTCGTTTACGTCTCTGCTGCATACAGGGTGCTTTACGTAAATTTGGTGACTGTCTTGTGGGACGTATTCCTCAGTTACATAAAGCATTATGACCAGTGCGCACATTCAGTGGATTTCGATCATTGCCGATGATCTAGTTTTTTCAGGTTGATGATGAGCAAAGGCATCATTCGTGGCATTAAAGCGATACGAATTTGATTTGTGATAGCAAAAACCACGGCATCGTCGTCATTCCCTCGCTAATGTTTTTTGTTGTCAGGTTCCACGCAGAGGCAGATCTGGAAAGGATTTTAATGTTTTCAAGGCTTTTTTCGTCTGTGGCGAAAAATCGTTCAATTCAATCGAGCTTATTTCAGTCACGAAATATTTTGATCAATTGTTGACTCGTCGCAGAAGTATGCAATTATCTACTGTGGGTTCGTGGGTTCCCCGAGCCAGCTGAAGTAGTCTTATTTTTCTGCGGTAGAAAATTTGTGTTTAATCTATCGTATTAATCACATTAGCTAGCGAAATTTTGAGTGATGATGAATAAGCTCAGGAGCGTGCTGTCGATGAAAAGGTCCTTGTGGGCAACGAATGTTGTTGGCACTGGTGTTTTATATGCTACTGGAGACTCGTTATTGCAAGCTTTGGAAGTTACGATGGGTGGCAAAAAGAGTGCTGATTGGGATCCGCAGAGAACTTGCAAGATCGAAAACCACCCTGAGCACGTCCCGTTAAACATGGTAGTAACCATGGTAACCAACCTGTTCCAACCACTATAATAACAAACCACACTGTAAAGAGAGCTAATCATGGAGGATGTTTAAAAATAAAAATGAGTCAAGAGAAAGGAAAGTGAGCATTTTTCTGTGCTTCAAATATTGAAGAAAACACCTGCATGTAGATGGGTTTCGAAAACCATTGACGAAGGCCGAAGAAAGTGCGTCTTCGAGGTTTTAATTTGAGAAAATAAAATGATGAGGAAAATTAAATGTTGGAAGAATGCGCACAGCGGAATAAACATTTTACACACCCTCAGTCTGAAGACCTTTGGTGCGATTTTCCGAATTTTAACGGGTTCAAAAGCATTAATGATCACCTTGCTGATTATCTTTCGAACGAAACATTGAAGATGTATTGATGCCACAAAGAAAAAAAAAATGAATCCCAACTGGTCAACGCCCCCAACAAGTATTAACGTCACCATAGGGCCCTTCCTAGGAGCTTGCCAAGACTTTTTCTAGAACCGACTGCTTCGTTAACGTAGTGGCTGTAAGCCCCAAAGGAAAAAGGAGCGGAGCCCCACTCTGGAGATGAAGCCCTTGTTGGTGTCTCTGCGAGAGTTTGCTTACAAATACCCCAGGGTTTACCTGATGGACTTGTGCATTTGGCCGCCCACGATGTACCTTAACTTTTTGTTCGTTCCCGGCCAATACCGAGTGCTGGTTGTCAATTGCGCGAACATCTTGTGGACAGCATTCCTGAGCTTTGTTAAACATGCACAGCACGAAGTCGGGCCTACGGGACTGGTGTTTGAAGAACTCGTTCCCTTTGGAAGGTTTTGACAATGACATCAAGAAGTGATTCCCGATTGTTGTCGAGATATTTTGTGTTTTTGCTTCGTTTAGTTTTGTATCGATTAATGCGGAAAGAAGGTTATCGTGACAATCCGTTCAATCGGATCAACGATTTCTCAATGCTTTGACTTTGGTAACTATGTTTGCTCATGTTATACTGCGCTTCTTCGAGGTCTTCAGTGTTTGTGTTTCGTCAAATATCGGGTGTTCAAAAAGTTATACATGCATTGAAAATTGGAATTGGAATGCACTTTGAATGCAGGGGTTTATTAAATATAAAGGCAACAGTTATGGTGTAAGCCATTTTTCTAATTACAGTTACCATGGTGGAAATGTCCCCGACGCGGAAGATTGAATGGTTAACGTGAGACATTCTCCGTATATGTCTTATACGCTTACTTACTTGATGTCTTGACACATTTTTCCACTTTTTGAACACCTCATATTCAGACGAACGAGAAAAAGGCAGTGTGTTTCCGCGTATGTGGAGTTACTCAATTACGAGCTTCGAACAAAGAACGTCACCTTTATTTTCTTTTTCGTTAATTGGATTTAATCACGCCTTCGTTCTAATTGGTCTTTTGTTCCAGTATTTAGTGGTTTTTTTTCTTGTGGAAGGAGGTGCGTTGGGTTGCAAAGTTGATTGAAACTGTGGGTGACCGTTCGAAATGAATGGTTACAAATCGAATGCTTTAAAAATTAGTTGCCGAAGTTTTAATACGTTAGACCAGTCAGAGCACTGCACTTTCTACAACGACAATAACTCCAGCCCACTCCACTCACCCAAATAAAATAACAATTAAAAGTAAACAACGGCACTTATAACGTCAATCAAAAGTTTTAACCATCTATTTGAAAGTCTGTTGTATGGGCGAGAGCATTCATTCCCTGCTTGTGGGAATATTTTTTGACTTGCCTTTCAACCGAGCTTGATGCACCTGTTCGTGCGTTTCAGATGAACCTTGAAATGACCAGTTGGAGAAGAAACTGTTGATGATTAAAAAGTGGTTATCTTGATGAAATGAGCAGAAAACAATGCATTACTCCATTTGGAACTGGCAGGTTATCATCATGCTGCATATACATTTTTTTTAATTGTCGGGAAGTAGAAGTTCACATACTAGTGTTCTCAATGCTCAAAACTTCGACCAAATTTAACGCACAGATTGCTCTTGACGAGGCTGAACGGACTCAGTCTACGCCCACCAACTGAGACTACAAGGAAGTCAGGGTGTACAAAGAAGAGTGCTGATTCACGCATGAACTCTCGTTGTTGAAAAGCGTTGGATTTTGCGGAAAGCTATTTCGATTTGTGTCTCGTGCTTTTTTTTTAAAAATTGAAATGATTATTCTTTCTTTTTGTGTGTGTGTGTGTGTGTGTGTCAGGCATTGCCGGAGGGCGGGAACATGACTGCTGCAGGGATGGTTGGTGGGTTCATGACGAACACCTTGAAGTTTCTCTCATGCGTGTTCGTTTTGAGCGAGCCTGAATTTTGGAACCTCAATCCAGATCTACCGGTAATAACTTGGCGCGTGTGGGTGGTTTTTTTTTTGGCAACCTTATTATAATATTTCAATTCTTGGTGAAGGATCAAGTTTTACCGCAATTGTACGGCAGGGAAAGGCTTTTCGGGGAAGATCTAGCAGACAACCGCCTTCCACTTTGCACCGGACAACACAGGTCCAGTGTGCCCCAGCACCACGCCAGGGCCAAAAGCGTCCTTATAGCTGCAAGAGACATAAAACGATTCCACTTAAGAAACTTATTTTTTTAAAAATTGACATGCTATTTCACACCCTTTCTTTCCTACGAAACCATAGCGATTTCCCTTTAGGTTACATCATGAATCATTTACTTTGTTCCATTCACGCCCCGAAAAGCCAAACAAACCTTGAAAGCTGTGTAATTTTCAACGTACAATTATTAATTTTATAGTGAATAGCATTGAAGATCAGTAATTCTGAGAAGTGTGTGCTGTGAACATTCTGAATTTTAAAAAAATGTTTCATTCAAGGACAGGCTCAGCTATTCCCTTCTCATGAAACATTTCTCAGTTTTGTTTCTCAGTTCTGAAGTTTTAGCTCAATTAGCTCAAAACATGTTAAGATGTAAGCATTTTTGGCCCCAAAAATTCGTGGTCATTCAAATTTTTGTTGTTGCGCAGGTCTTCCGTGGTGTGGGGACTCATCGTGTTAGTGGTTGTTTTCAAGTCCGTATTTAATTTAGGCAGGTCTCTGGAGACGTGCCTAATGGTGAAATAATTTGTACATCCTTCAGCAAGAACCTTCTTTTTTGTTGGGGCTACTCTATTTTCACTCATGGAAATCCTTAGAATCTGAGATAGTCTCTTGAACCTCTTGTAGCGCTTTTGTTTCAAATGATGCCTGCGGTGTGCTGAACTAACTTATTCCAAGTCGAGTACTGTACTCATCTTTTCAGGTTCTGAATGTGATACATGTGATACGATACATGACCAAGAAGACTGTTGAGCTGCTTTATTTTGTTCTTAAAGCAGTAAAGACCAAATATTGAGTGTGCAAGAAGTCAATGTGTTGTTGAAAGTTTCTTGGTTTTGTGTTCCCCATGTGTCCATTGCTATGACACAACTTTCAAGTGTGGGTAGATGTCACTGGTATTTGCTGTAGCATCTTAATTTCTTTTCAAGTTATCGCGAGTTTTTGTTGCGTTGGCGACAGCATTGCAAGTGTCTTACAAATTTCACGATGTTAGGCTGTAGTAACAAGTCTTATACTCTTTCTTAAACCAAACTTGATGCACTTTGGCGCGCGTTGAAGACAAACCTTGAAGTGCCCACTTGCGGAAGGAATAGTTTGATGCTGATCTAGGCGTGGTTATCTTGATCGAATATGCAGAATAGAAGTCATTAACCTAGTCGTCACTGGCTGGATTACAATGGTGTAGATTAACATCTTCTTAATTATCGGACATTAGAAGTTGATGAGAAGAACGAGTCGACTTTATGAGCGTTCCTTTCTTCTCACAGGCGGTGATGCCAGCGAAACCGAAGGAAATGCTGGATGTTTTCTGGAAGGATGGACTGGATATTCCCAAGTGGAATCCAACTGCGTTGGCAGTTGAAGTAGTCAAGGTGGATTTTCTTGTAGAATACTGTAGTTTCCTTTTTTTTTCAATTGTGCAAAATTTTAATTGTGATGGTTGGACCCAGGATTTGGATGACCAAACGAGAATTTGCACCGTCAGTTGGTTTCGAGTCCAACGGCCTAACTATCCTAGCTCCCTAAAACACTTGAACTTAAAGACCGCGTCAAGACCGCTTCCCTGCTAACTGTATCAAATAAGCTTACGATGAACCGGCACCAAACCACCCACGAGTGATTACGTCAGGTTCGTTGTCCCTATCCCTCGAATTGTATTTCCGGAAGCACCTTGAGATGAATTTTTTATGCCCACGTTTCTGCGTCTTTGAAGTCTTCCATTAGTGACGTCTTTTTAGAGTAATGACATGTCATGGTGTTTTAAAACCCCTAAAGCCTTTTTAAAGCAACGTGACTTATGAAACTAAGTTACTTTAAAAGCTTTAACTACTGACCTTTTATAAAAATTATCGGACGTACCTGCCTATAATGAATTCGATCTTTCTTTTCTGGCGCTCTCAGTTTTTTAATCGTTCTTTGAAAAACTGTTTTTATGAAGAAAAAAATGAGATTCTATCATGCCACAATCCATCAGTTGCACCAATCTCTTCATTCTGGGAAGATTATTTGTTGAACCGCTTGGAAACATGTTTGTCATTCATTAAATCTTCAATTCATCATGCTACAAGAACCAGTCAGTCTAATTTGGGATTAGAAATTCCAGAATGTGCCTGTCTTAGGTCAGGAAATTTCTACCCGGAGAGTCATTCTTCGAAAAAATGTTGTTTCACTGGACTTGAGAAGTTTGTTTTAACTTTTACCCCCGACGGGTTTCTGCGGGGACTTTAAAAAAAAAAAAAGTTTTGTTGTAACAGTACAGCATTTGTTCTGAAGAGATTTCACTGTCAACATTCACAAAGCACAGGAATGACGGATCCCTCGCCCTTCTTGTTTTGCAGGGGAATGAATGGTGCCAGTGGAATGCGGTTCTCACCTTTGCCCGGGGGCAAGGAGTGCACTATGACTTGGGTATTCAACG